TACTCTTTGCCAGGTTGACCTTGCTTTAGATGTAGAAAAAGCTTTACCGGCCATGTTCAGGCAAAGGTTTGCCACAACCCAAGAGGAAGTTTATCCAAACGCTAACAAGTACTGGACCATTTGGTCATTTTGGGGTCAAACCGTGAGTCCTGCTAGAGCTATCTATGAAGCTATGAATCCTGAAAAGGTTGGTGCTTGACCGGGAGTAAGGTTTGGCAAAGCAATTTTTAAAGCCTTATATATATCCCGCAGTAACTAAAATATGTTTAGCTTGATGGCTCGTCTATGTCATGTATGATTCTGAGAAATTAAACTGTGCTCATGAGAAGGCTGTTAATAACAGTGGAGGGGGGCTGTGATTTTACAGAGCGCTATTCGGTAAATGGAGGGAACGGTTGCCCGTGATAGTTTTATAACGATAAATTGGACGTTTATCTAAGCAAACCTCATAAAATGGCATGATTGTGTTGTTGTTGTTGTTGTTTCGTTGCTTTGTTACATACAACTGCTTGCAATTGGCAGTACTATACTGGAGATGTAGACGGCCAAATCAAGCTAACCATGCAAAGAGCAAATTTGTCAGTATCTCAAGAAATTGTTGTGCTTCGTCGGCGGGCAAGCTCTTCCACCGACGAAGGGCTAACACTGGAAACGTCAGCTTTACAAACTGGCTACGGTGGTTCATTTTATCGTGATAAGAAGCTAAGACTCTCCACGTGTATTCGCGGTACTAAACAATAGGTTTGGAAAGACTGGAGAAATTGCTNGACCATTTGGTCATTTTGGGGTCAAACCGTGAGTCCTGCTAGAGCTATCTATGAAGCTATGAATCCTGAACAGGTTGGTGCTTGACCGGGAGTAAGGTTTGACAAAGCAATTTTTAAAGCCTTATCCCGCAGTAACTACGATATGTTTAGCTTGATAGCTCGTCTATGTCATGTATGATTCTGAGAAATTAAACTGTGCTCATGGAAAGGTTGTTAATAACAGTGGGGGTGATTTTACAGAGCACTATTCGGTAAATGGAAGGAACGATTGCTCGTGATAGTTTTAAACGATAAATTGAACGTTTATCTAAGCAAAACGCATAAAATGGCATGATTGTGTTGTTGTTGTTATTGTTGTTGTTGTTGTTGTTTCGTTGCTTTGTTAAATACAACTGTTTGCAATTGGCAGTACTATACTGGAGATGTAGACGGCCAAATCAAGCTAACCATGCAAAGAGCAAATTTGTCAGTATCTCAAGAAATTGTTGTGCTTCGTCGGCGGACAAGCTCTTCCACTGACGAAGGGCTAACACTGGAAACGTCGGCTTTACAAACTGTCTGTGGTTCATTTTAACGTGATAAGAAGCTAAGACTCTCCACGTGTATTCGCGGTACTAAACAATAGGTTTGGAAAGACTGGAGAA